CAGTAAATTAGGCCGGAAGAAAATGAGTATTTGTCTGTGGCTGTATCTTAACCTCCATTGTAGAGGTACCACAGGCTTATGGAGAGCATTTAGGGCTGATACCTTGGTAAAATCTGGTCTAATTTCTGCTCTGCTGCTGATCCATGTCTTTGTGTGGTTTGCAATCCTCAGGACTCATTGTGAGTGTTGGTGAAGCAGCACATGTAGGGTGCTGGAGCAGCTGGTAGGCTCTGCTTCTGTCTGACACAGTCCCTGCACCCTCTCTCCACAGACTTGCAACACCTTAAAATTAAAATACAAAGTTTTAAATGATCCTGACCTTGACAGGACTTAAAGCTATTATTTCCACTTGTGCTTGTACCTCCTGACTTGTATTTGGCAGCACTACAACCACTTGAGGATGTGTGTGTTACTGAGAGATCTATTTGGCATTTCTGTTCATTATGCTCTTTACTGCCTCCTTGTCATTCTAATCAACTCTTCTTTTTAGTTGAGAGGCATGAAAGAGGAAAACAAAATCCAGTTCTGAAAAATGCTATGTACTCTCTTCGGAAGCCCCTTTGATGCTAAAAATATGATGTAGTGGCTTCAAGAGCAAAGAATTTCCATATCATACTTTCTGTTGTCTGGTTTTGAGGAGCTTATCTTGCCTCTTTTCCCACCAATCATTTATTAAAAAACTATCAATAGGGTAAAAATTAAAATCAGAATTCAAAGTATCTTTCAGCAGACTTCAATATACCTTAAGCATGTGGGTACTTTTGAAAATTTGACCCTGTCAGTACATTCTGTGCCCCTTTCTGAACCCCTGTCTTGCTTCTCTAGAATGTGAAGTGCTCTAGGGGAGAAGACACCACGGTACGTGTTTGCACAGTGTCCATGATGCCAGGCTCTCATCCTCAGAGCTCTCAGTGCTGCTGTCACGTTACTGAACATCCCTTCTTGGAAGTGAACATTTCCCAGGTTTCGCAGATCTGCTGCTGAGGCATCAGGTTTGTGCTGAGCAAACCCGTTCTGGGATACCATTCACCTCTGAGGCTGCTGTACAGGCCTCCCACTGTACCTAAACTGGCAGGGTTGGGACCAGCATGGCATGGAGACAAAAGCAGCTCTGTCTGTCCTGAGGAACAATGGAATAACCTTAGCTGGTGCTGCAAGAAAGCAGGTAGGGAATGTCTTTGTGCTGTGCTAATGCTGGGAAGTTAGCACAAGGAGTCAGGCATACAGCTCCTGAGAGCTTCTGGAAAGCAGGAGGAGTGAGTTTGCTTTCTTCCCTTTTTCTTTTTTTTGTCAAAGTTTAAGTTGATTCTCTCGTCTACTCTCTTGCCCCCCTTCCCCCTCTGCTCCCTAAGCCTGCTTTTGATTTGGTTTTATTGGCTAGTGAAAGGAATCATTTACTAGTCAAGGGCCAAGCAGTGACAAAGGAATGCAGGTAAATTAGTTTCAGTTCCTATTTCTCCCCGTCTTCCTCCTTTGGAATTTGAGCTTTAGAAAATAAAGTCCTTTTACCCATACTGCCCCCCTCTTTTTTCCTAAAAGGATTTCCCCCCTTCTCAACCTCTCTTTCAAGAACTTCGTTTTTGTAACTAAGAAAACCCCCATTAAAGTACCTAAAATGTCAAGGTGTACAACACATTCAATGAAATCCAACCAAAATGCATTAAAAAAAACCCCACAACTTTTTGCATGCACCTTAAAAATGCAGAAATTAACTGAGAGTGTCATAAAGCTTGTTCTAATGAATAACTATGTACACACTGGGAAGTTTTACATGCACATATATCATGCTTCAAATGCTAAAATGTAGTTAAAGTTTAAACATTTTGCAGAAGAAAATATGCAAAAGAACTTGCAGAGAATCAACATGGAGAAAACCTGTATGTTCAGTCTTTCATCACTCAGTATTATTGAAGTATTAAGTACTAAACTAATAGTGTTGGCATTCAAACTTTTTTTTTTTCTTTCTTTTCTGGCTTTTTTTCCCTTTGTAAGTTGTCTTCCTTTGGACAATTTGCTTCAAATATACCTGGATGTTTCACCAACTCGACTCTTAAACAAAAATCTTTAGAGGTTGAGGCCTTCTGTTTATATCACATTGATGTCCTTAGTAAATAAGGACAAAATGTAATCCAAAATGCTCTGTGATGTGACATAGTAAATGGCATTGTGGCATTAATGACAGAAGAGGGTTTGTTTCTGATTGGTAGCTATTCCTGTTAGTTATTTCCACATTCCTAACATAGAAATAAAACCACCCTTTGTCCTTTTTTCTTAGTGCAGCAAAAAGTTGCTTATTCAGTCTTTCAGTTGACTTCATAATTAGATGCATTTTGTGTTTCTGCATGCACAACACAAACTTGAAATACAAAAGAACTCAGTTCTGTCTAAACAACTGTAAGGTTTTGGACAGCAGCTGGAAGAAGCCAGGAAATGTAAGTTAAGACTGATATTCCCCACTTGCCTCACGCTATTGTTGAGTGCGTTTTGTGGGGAAAAAGCACAATGATGAGAGAAGTAAGAACACAACATCAGTCCTAACACTGCATTTCCTGGCTTTTGTTGGTTTGTGTCACAGCCCTAAAAAATTGTCTTTAATTTCCTCAAAAAGGGGGCAAATATATTTTCCAGAGTAGTGTAATATATACAAACGTAATTTATCTGCCTAGGCAGAACACTGGCTACTGGGGGAGTAGAATCAGAATTTGACATAATTTTCTCAGAAAAATCTCTCCTGTATTTTCCAGCTGTGTTTAAATACAATTACTTTAGTTTGTAATTTCCATCTGATATTTAAATGACTGTTGGAGACCAAAAAATTCCTCCTCCCAGTGGAGCAGTACCTTTCATTAAACACCCACTAAAGGTGTTTTTACAAATGATTTCTAGGGTTCAGTGGTGGTCTGATTTTATTTGATTTAGAGCCACTGAGTCAGTTTCTTTTCTCCTGGCAGGTTTAAGAAGTACAGAACTTGCTTGGAAGCTAGGAGGTCAGATGGAAGGAATGAGTTGTGTTGTGCCCTTCCCCTTAGGTTGGATCCAGGGACTGCTGCAGTAAGAAATGCAGGTCTTGGTTGTGTCAGAGCTGAAGGATGAGATGCTTTTTCCATGCTTGGTGTGAAAGGAAAATGGAGATCGTGTATATTCAGAACTGCATGAGTGACAAGTTGTGGTGGTTTTTATCTGACACAGGTGGATTTTTTATGCTTCATTATTTTATCAATAGAGTTTGAATTACTTTCACGTGTGCACATCTTGTTACATTTGTAACTCCTCAGACAGTATTAAACTTTGTTTAAATTCTACAGACTCTTTAAAAGCATCACTGTAAGCACAAATGGATATTTTTGTACTTAGTTGTCCTGTATAACAGGATGTACAATATTTGTACAGGTTCCCACTGGGAGACATTATTACTATTATTATTATTATTATTATTATTATTATTATTATTATTATTATTATTATTATTATTATTATTGTTGTTGTTGTTGTTGTTGTTGTTGTTATTATTATTATTATTATTATTATTATTTCACTTTAAGTAATCATTTTGAAATACCAAAAATATTATATTTATTTAATGTGTATTTATATTTTCTTTAGGTATATACAAAGGAGGAAAAAGTTATCAGAAATATCAAAAATCATATGAGGTATCTAAGTTCTGGGTATGAACATGAAATATCCAATTAAGACTTTTTAGCCTAATATTCTCTTTGCCACTGAAAATAAATGTGTGCTAGTAATCTAAAATTTGAACAGTCAGATTTCCTGCTGCAGTGAGCTTCTATCCACTTTTCCCAAAAGAATGGTTTGGGAAGGAACTGTTTATACAATATTAAGAAGAACAATGAAGGCAATAATTTTATTCTTTAAATTTTTATAAATTTTATAACAACAAAATGTGTGGATATATTGGCCCAAATTTGTGATTGATTACATATGTTTAAATGTTAAAACATTATAATGAAGTCTTTCTGCCTCTACAGCAATTTTTATCACATAAACAAAAGACTTGGGATCAACAGATATGTCTCAAAATCAGAATGATTCATTTTTTTGGTCTGCCCTCCAGGATATTTTGCATAGTGAATTGTGTCTCAGTGAAGCAATAAAATGGATCCTGACAGTCTCCCACACTTAAGATATATTTATTTCTCAGAAAAGTAACTGAATTTCACAGCTTCAAATCCAAACTGGAATTGGCAATCAGGTAATACAGGTATATGGAGCTGTATATGACTACCAGGTTTGTATTCACTACATTTTAAAAACCAATTATATTCAAATATGAAGGAATTTACTCTATGTGGTGAACACTTTCTCTGCTTTAGTATGGTTAAACATAAGAGTTTAAAAAATGTATGTGAAGTCTGTTATTACTGGGGCTAAGCTCAGAACCAAGGCAGTTTGGTCATGAAGATTTTAAATGCCTCAGAGCGCTTCCCCATACGTGCTCCCACCTTCGCTAGTTCCACAGGTAGCTGATTAAAATCTTTGGGAATCGGCGAAGGTCAGACCCCAACTAAAGGGGCTGAAGGGGAAAGGGGAAGAGCGTTTGAGAGCAAATTGCGATCGCTTGGGAGCTCCGGACCGAGCCTCGGCCGTGCCCCGGCCCGCGGCCTCCAGGGGCCGCTGTGACACCACGAACCCCGCACCGCGGCCGCTCTAAGGGTTCCTTTAAACAACAAAACATCCAACTTTGAAATCCTTTTTGTCTTCAGATGTTCCAAACCAGCATTCCAGCAAAGGAAATGAAAAAGGGAAACTAAACGAGCTTTCCCCCGCCCCCCCCCTCTCTCTCTCTGGTTTCTATTTGTAATACTTTATTTCTACAACAAGCACAAACCACTAGAAAGGCAGAAAACAAAATATGAATTTTTCCTTCCTTTTTCACTGTAAACCTCTGTAAAAACAATGAAAAAAAATTCTGGACTATATTAGATGGCTTGTTTCTTGTTTCTTCTTTTTCTTTTCTTCTTTTTCTCTTTTATTTTTTCCCCTTTTCCCCCTCCCTTTCTGTTATATTTGCTGAGCTGTTTGCATTTTAACTTTGCAGGAGAAGGAAAAGAGGAAATGATGTTTTGTAAAAATACACAGTAATTACCAATTGGACTAAACTAGAGGCAGCAACTGATGGTATGAAATTGTTATATTTTATGTCAAAATATATCCAAACAGGACAGAAAGTTGTACTGGATTTAGTGTTAAGAAGCTGCATCTATCAGACATGATAGCCTTACAAAGAAGAAAATTATATGTAATATTAAAAAGAAAAATGGCATTTGCTATATGATAAAGATTTAATTATAAGTCTCCATCAAACATTATCTTATATTCTGGAAACAAATAATAAATGATATAAAAGAATATAGTTGATGCATACATTTAATTAGGGTTTATTTACCATGGACTATATAAACACTTTTTTTTCTATAAGGGGAAGGATTTGTATCTGCAAGTTCTGCCTTGAACATTTCAAGTTAAAAACAAATGTTTTAAGAAAAGACACTAACATAAAACAGCCCAGTGTTGGCTTTGTGTCTTTGTAAATGTCTGTGGCGGTTTCTCCTTGTCTGAGGGAAAGAGCCATTCATTAAATTAAAAGTGAACCAGTTAAACTGGACCTTTCATTGAAGAAAGTCTCCCAGTGATCCGTGCTTTATTTGGTGGATTGTCTTACAACACAAATAAACCAAGGGGTTTTTTATCTTGGGATCTAAAAATACTAGAAAGAAAGGAAATCCAAGCAAGTCAGAAAATACTAGGAAATAATTTCCCATTAAACAGACCCTCTGCCTCCATATATCTCAAATCATGAAAGTACACAAGAGAGAAGGGCTCATATTCCTTTTTCTCTCAGGTTAAAAGCCAGTGACAGAGGAAATCGAATTCAAAGGTACCGTCAATGTTTGCAGTGTTCAAAAATAGATAGGCAAGAAATACACACTGCAAATCCATCACGGCTCTTTGCTGGCAGCTAACTGCTAAATGCAGATGATGTTGCTGCCAGTGAAAACCATTGAAATAGGATCCTATGTGCATAAATGTTGTGTAAAATGCATAGATATTTGGGGCAGATTTGAAACAATTTTTATTTTCTGAAAAAAATTCTCAGGCATTTATTTAGATATCTGTTTCAGCCGACTTAAATCCACACTTCACATTCTCTTTTTCCTTTCAAATCTTATGCATAGCTTTACAAACCCTTTTTAGGAACACTGTGTGATAATCAGCAACAAAGAAATCAGTATAGTTTGGAAGAACAAATACAGTAAAATATGGATGACAATTTAAGAAATATATTTTCCTTCTCTTTGTTTCTGCTGCAGTTAAAATCTTGATGGTTTTATTTATATTTTCATATTTTTGTAAGACAATTTAATGTAGAATTCTCAAAAATAGACTTTTTAATAATTGTGTACTTAATGAAAAATGGGCAGAGTAATGGACTCTAAGATACAGAACTGAAATTCAGAATAAAATGGAGCCTTATACACTGAAATTGCATGAATGCGTAGCTGATTGGAAGGCTGTTAGTGGTTTGATGCAATTTTTATTTTTGGATGATGAAACTCAGATGCTCTAAAAGAGTCCAAAGATGTTCTGAAAGGTCTCTTGGTGCTTATGCTGATGAGCACTCAAAGGCACCAATTCCCTCTGCATGTTATTTACAGGCACATATATTTATGTACAGACACAAATTTTATCTTCTGTAAACACTAAAAATAGCTTTGCCTTTATCCGCAGCATCCATACGTAAATATAGCACATGTAATAAAATTTCTTTTGAACCCACAATGAGCTTCTAATTAATTCTACATATAATTCCACAATATGTATTATTAATAAGTATTAAAACCATTTTTTTAAAAATAGGGCCTTTCTCAGCATTATGACTCTGACCTAGCATGTCTGGGATGAAAGAATGTACAGAGACGATAAATGCATTTTTTGTTTTCTTGAGATAAAGATGAAACAAAGCTAAATGAAATGAAACAAATTGTCACCAGGCTGCTGTGATAGGCAGATCACTTTTCTGTGCATGTGATTTTTTGTTTCGTGATATAGGCATGATTGTGCTGATAGTGTAAAAAGTACTTGCCGGTAAATATGCTCACTTTTGTGAGTAGTGTGACCAGGTTTTAAAAAATACATATCTGCATATATTCATAGGAAATTTAGATAGAAAGTACTTGCAAGTTTAACCTCTGGTAGTTTCATGTCCCTTTCTCTTAGGCAGTGCGGAGGGAACCAGCCAGGGTTGCTGACAGAGGGAGCCTGGTAAGGTCTGTGTGTGAAAAGTTCATGATAAAAGAACAAACTTTTGTTTGTTCTGTGTTTTGGGAAGAGGGAAAAGATCTGTTCTCTTTTCCTCCCCGGAAATCTGATGGAAGTCTGTGGTGTGCAATGCTAGGAGCAACTGTGTGGATTTTTGTGCCTCTGTAGGTCTTCATGAAATGAAAGGGATGTGGAGCTCTGCAGCTTCTGCCCACAGCTTCTGCTCAGCCATCGTGGGAGTCGCTTCCTCAAAGTTCCCTCCTGAGAAGGTACTGTAGCCACTCTGGATAGGATTATATATGATACATTGTATCAGTCACTACTAAAATGCATCTCTTTCTAGGATAAAACAAACAGAGTAGCTCTGAACTGCAAAAATTCGTAATAACCAGCGTCTTGACCCTTTCGCTTCTATGGGACTTGCAAGGCAATTCAATGCAAAAGGTAGCAATGAAGTGCAAAAAGATAAACGGATGGTTTACCTTGAACTTTCTGGTCCAGTAGAAGTTGGAAACGAAACTAGTACTAGCAAGGCCTGATTTAAAAGGTTTTGGTTTGTCTGATGCCAAAGCAAAGTATTTTTTTGACTGCCATCTGATCTTAGGGAAGCACATTTTCTGAAGACTTCACTTCTCACCTGGGCAAATAAATAAGGATTCAAAATATTTTCTCCATCCAGGACACATCAGATGGGTTTAACTCATTCTAAAAATCTGTCTAGTCACCCTAACAGGCAGCTTAGCCATTCTGAAAATCTGGTCATTTGTGCAGAATGGAGCACAGTGTGATGTGTTTACTTGTGCCAAAAAAGCACGAGGGCTATGCATGCTGGGCTGCCAAGGGCTCCTTGTTTTCAAGTGGTGATCATTTGTAATCTGTGCCCTATAACTGTCAATGTGGGCTACCATATATCTGACTTGTCCTGAAATGTTTAGAAATGGAAAGGAACTTTGTGCTCTGCCTGTTTGCCCAGGATTTCCTGGCATTCAACAGCCTTTCTGGAATTGTAGTTTTGCTACAGTTGCTGAATATTCACAGGTATGGGAGAAGCAGCTGCTGTGTCTCACTCCATGTAGGATGTCTCACATTGCACAGGGATCTGAGCAGGCACTGTGAGCCCAGCTTGTCTTTGATTGTGGAGCACACTTGGATTGCTTGCTGAGTCACTCTGCACATGAGATCATGCTGCTGTCTAGAAGCCCCTTCTGTCCATCAGTCCATACTGAGAACAGTCTACAGCAGTAATAGAAAATTTCCAAATGCTTTGCACACTTTCACTTCAGACAGTTTCTCATCCTCATTAAAGCTGGTGAGTGGGAGTGCACCAGTCCTCTTCTGGCATATGTGTTACTCTCTGACTGGTACAGATGAGAGGGGTTAGTTGTGCTTTGAAGAAATGTTTGGCTTATACAGTTAAAAAGGAAAAATTGTTTTGGGTTGTAAAGGCCTACAGGGCGTAATCTGCACTATCTGATCCATTTGCCTTATGAGCTACTACACTGAAGCACAAAACAGCCACTTGATTTCTTAAGGACTTGAAGAGGACGAGAGGCAGGGGCTGGAGAGTGGAGGAGAGGGGAGCAAACAAATCCTGGCCAAAAATTTCACCACTGAAGTTTCACTGTTTTAATTTAGAAATGGTCACACATGCCAAAAGTTGCCAGTTTTTTTCCCAGCATTTCCATTAGCACATTTAAATCACAGTTGTTGGAAAACTTGGTACAGGTAAAAATATACTTTTCATAAGCTCTTGGAGATGTAAAATAAGTAACAAACCCCTTTTTTCGGATTCCCCTCCACCCCCCTTCAGCAAAGTCACCTAAAAATGAGGGGATTAACTATTACCAGTCAATAGGAGGCACTTCTGAAAGAGGAAGCATTGCTATCCAGATTTGAAGGAAATGAAGCGTTTATTGGAACAAAAATATACTCTTTGTTCACGTTACTTCATTGAATTGTGTATTCTCTTCTAAAAGCATGAAAAGCAATTGAAGAAAATGTTTCATGCCACTCTTTCTTTTACCACTCATCTTTTGTCTTCCTGTTTTACCTCCTTTTCTCTGTGTCCATCTTTCTCATTAAATTGCTAACCAATGCTTTGCTAATTAATGCCAGCTTAATTTAATGTTTAATGACGCTCTGTCTGTGTGGGGAGTTTGATTTCTTTTTGTGATTCTGGCCTGACCATTGAGATTAGCAGCATCTGTACAAAGCTGCAGAGTCCCTTGGGGCACTGAGCAACACTTTTTTTTTTCACAAAATCAAAGTGACTGGCATGTAGGGTTAGTAGAAAGTATCTCTTCATAAAGTGACTGCAAATGCTTTGCAGTTTTCTGAATCAGCTAATATTTACTCACTTCTTGCAGATTATTAAAGATGATGGAGCTAAAGACAACATTATTGTAATACAGCTGAAAATTGAGCTGGGAAAACTATTTTTAAGAAAAATGTTGAGAATTTTATAAAATCTTATCTATCAGTGTTCCATAAGCATTTATATAATTATACCTGTCACTGGAAAACACTAACAAGTATTGCATAAGTATATATTCCAAGCTGTAAATTATTTACAAACAGTTTTCAGAGACTTTTTTCTTAAGTATGCAAATTTTTTATGTCACTGGCCATCTAGATCACATGATGCTCTTTCTGTTCCATTTTGGTTACATAGCTCAGAACAAAGGAGTGCTGAAAGACATGTTTTAAATGTCACTGCTGAAACAGTTGACTTTAGCAGACCTGTCCAGAGAAGTTGGGCTGTGGTGAGCTGGTGTCTGAGGCAACCAGGTAACTGCAAAGCAAATCCACACAGGCTCATGGTGGCTAAATAGAGCAGTGGTGCAGGCCTTGCTTGGCTCATAAACATGCACTCACTGGTGTGTTAGACTTCTGTGTTTGTTGTTTCCAATCATGTTATTTCTTTTGTGTATTTGTTTTTCTGGTGGGATTGGAAAGGAAGTGTCACTTTCAGATGTGTGATGAACTTGTCCATCATAGTCTAGCTCTTAATGACTTTATGACTCCACCTGCAATGGTAATTATGTTTATCCTCTGCCGGTACCATCCTACATCATTTGGATGAAGGAAGAAAATTAAGGAGCATCCTCATAGCTTTCCTGTGAGATTATGCATTGAAGCAGAATTTTTTTAGGACACAGTTGAATTTTGACGCTTGTTTTCATTTCAGAAGAAAGACTTTCAACATGATTGTGTCTTTTTGCATGGTAACATGCAGGAGTAGGATGAAGATTAGATGTTAAAGGGAAGCTAAGAATATACACATACTTTCAGTCACATATATGCCTCTTATATGACTTTCACCCTTTGCTTCATACAACCACTATTTACATTTGGAACTAGTGGTTTCTTAAATGCTCAGAGCCCACAATTGAGCCCAGATTTCCAAAAGTGCTTGGCACCCAGCAGTTCTCACTGAGACATTTTTATGGCCAGATAATCAAAATTGCTCAGCATGGTGGAAGCTAGGGAGTTTTGAAAATCTAGCCACTTATTTTAATGCCCAAATGGAGGCTGGGTTCTTCAGGAAAGCTGCTTCATATATTACAGTTGCAATGACTCTGTATTAATCCTGTAAGTACTTTTTTTTCTCTTATGGACATACAGTCTATCGTATATGTGCCCACTTAAAGACTTTCCTACTCATTCTTCCATATAAATTGTAATTACATTAGTTTCATTGAATTTCAGAAGTTGTTGGTACCATATGAATGAAGCAAAAGTTCAAATGAAAATCAGATCCAGTAATTACAGGATTTTTCTACAAGCATTTTTCTTTCAGGCTTGACTTGGAAATGAAATAAAGACAAGAAATGCCGATTTCCAGGTTAGGAAGCAAACAAAACCAAATTGTAGAGGGTGAGAGTTGCTTAGCTGAGCTGCTTTTCATAAAGCACTTTGACAGCTGAAAAGAAAAACATTGAGGTAACTTGTAAAGTGAATAACTTCAGCTATTACATTTGCAATTTTCCGCTCAGTGTTCCCTGTCCTACTGCGCAGAGAAACTTCGTAGGACGTAATACCCCAGCAATAATAGTCAGCTTTGACTCTGTACTCTGCAGACATTAACTAGCTCACCTCACACCCCTGCAAGGTAAGGAAATGGTGTGATTGCCACCTTGCCTCTGGCACAGCAAACACTCTAGTTAAAGTTGAGGTTTGCCAAGAGAACTGCTTGCTGTGTTGTTCCTCTCTCATTGCTCCTCACAGTTGCAGAACCACTTCTTAGTGCCCCAAGAGATGTATGTGACAATAACGGATTATTATGAATATTTTGTGATGGTTGAGGTATTTCACAGCTGCCCACGAAAGGTTTGTTTTACTCAGGTATTTGTTATACATGAAGGGCAATTCCTGTACTTTGTAGAATTTCAAAAAAGTGCAATTAATAACAGTCTCTCTTTCATAAAGTCATTTGGAAGAAGGCTTAAGGAAGATCAGAATGTCTTCTGTGCTGCAGGAGAGACACCTGGATGCAGAGTCAGCAGAAGCCATGACTGAGACAAAGAAATGTCAGGGATTTTGTGGGACCTTGTTCCTCACACTGGCTGCTAGGACCTCAGCATCTCTGTAAGAGCTGACCTGGCACCTGGGAGTGTTGTAGCACTCAGCCTCAGTTTCTGAGGGATCCAAACTCTGTGAGTGAAGGAAAGCATTGCAAGGCTGGGTGTTTCAGGTGGGGACTGGTTTTCTCTCCACATGCTGTCCCATGAGGAGGTGTATTCTCAGTAGCAGTATTCTCATACCAGAAGAATGCCTTAAATTGGATCATCTGAGTAAAAACCAGTTTCCAGTGCATTCACATACAGGCTTTGTTCTACACAACTCCTGTGGAACACCATGGCTCCTCACTACCTTCCATCTGGAAACTGACCCTTTTTTTGCTAAAAGTTGAGCAGTACTACCTTTTCAAGGGCACCCAGGTCATTTTCCCCAGGCTCCATATACTGTTCCCATGAGCAACACATGAGTTTGAGTCTCATTAAAAGCCAGCAGATGGAAGCCCAGTTCTTTTAATATAATCAGGTACCTGTCTCTTACTGATTTCAGTAGAGATGGATGTATAAGTATGTTTAATATATTGGACTATGGCATGTCTGAATTAATAGTGAGGTTTTAACTCACTTGGGTCCCTTGGACCAAATTTTCCTTGATATATGCACTCTATGCCTCTTAGCTTGGCCACTGGCTCTTCTCTTACAGAGCCCAAAATGCACTGTGGAACTTCTGTTTACAAGATTTGGTTAACATT